ATTTTAATTGTAATTTACCTAATTTGCATAGTTTGCCATCGATATTTGCCTAGACCCACAGGGATCTGTGGACCAGACACCATTAAGAAATCTGCTATCCGAATTAGCTCGACCACCCAGACGTCAAAATTTCTACTATTTGGCACTACACACCGTGCAAAAATTTTCAGTGCTTTTGGACAAAGATTTCGATGATGTCAAATAAAGAAAGCAGTTAAGTATCTCGGAACAGATAGATTTATGGGTGAAGGCAATGCAACACCTGGAAATCTTGCAAGATGGGATTCATCCCAGGAAGACTTTCTACAGGAAACTAACTCTATTTAGGCATTAGATTTGTGAAAAAAATCTGAAAAACTTTGTGGCCAGCCCATTGGTGAGATGCAAACCCTACAACCAATTACCAGTGTTTTATCCACTAAGACAATGATGAGGCCAAGCACATAAGGAAGCCAGTATTAATTACCGTCTCCCAGACCCAACTTGTGTTATTTTAAAATTTCAAGTAATTTCACAAAAAATTATAATGTTTTAATGAAATTATTTAAATTATAAATGTATGTAATTTTTCTTATTAACTTTAGTTAAAATAATTTAACTTAAATAACGTAAAGAAGTGTTTTAGAAGTTAGACAAAATGGTCAAGGTGGGAAAATAATTTCAATAATATAAAAATTTTCCTTTTTACAATATTTTTTGGTGTTCATTACTTGAAGTTCATCGTTAACCAAAATTTTTTAACCTTATAAAAATTAATTTTGAGGACGTTGCCAGAAGCAAATTTTGTATTTTTGGATGTCAAAAAGTCCATTAATTACCGTTTGCGCTAAAAATAAAAATAATCATTTATGGCACCGAATTCAATTTTATTTCTATTAATTGACATATTGCATCGAGTTTATAATTGTATAAGCTATCCTACGATGAAAATGTGTGCTTAAATTAAAGCATTCTTTTTATCTAAAATATTTATGTTAATTTATCAGTTTGGTGTTGCATGGCAAATTGTATAGTAGGAAAATTAAATCATACTTATATGTATGATTTAATTTGAATTTTTCAAATTATGTAGTAACTAGCAAATTAAAGCATTCTTTTTATCTAAAATATTTATGTTAATTTATCAGTTTGGTGTTGCATGGCAAATTGTATAGTAGGAAAATTAATTAAGTCATACTTATATGTATGATTTAATTTGAATTTTCCAAACTATGTAATAATAATTATTAATTGGTCCATAAATTGTGGTTTAATTTTGTGTGTAATAATTTTTGGGGAAATTTTAGGTCCTGAAAATCTTCTGCATGCCTTTTCATAAGTTGCATTGTACCATATTATTTCTTGCTGCCTGCATACGGTTACACTTGGTTCACCTTATTGTGAGCAAAAAAAAATCAGCAAAGCATCCAAGGAGGAAATTCCCTGAGTTTTTGACAATTTTTGTCAAATTCCCTGATTTTCCATGACTTTTTCAAAACAATAATGAAAATCTGTGATTTTTTCTGACTTTCCAGGTCTGTAGGAACCCTGTACGTTGACAGTTAATGTAAAAAATACTTGTTTTATAAGCGAAATGTAGCGTAATAACTATCACTTGGCACGATTCATTTCTTTATATCAATTTTCATTGATCAACGAAAATTGAAATAAAGAAATGAATTGTGCCAAGTGATCGTTATTACGCTACATTGCACTTATAAAACAAATACAAAAAATATGACACGGTTTCAGAATATGGCATGGTAAAAAATACTTTAAATTGTCTAATATCTCATCTATTCGAGATAGAATAAATGAAAAAAAATTTGATAACTTTTCCTTATTACCAATAATTATTAACTTACTTTATGAATTATTATGAATAAACAAAATAAAATAGTTTGATATGGTTTACAGAAATTGTTAGCATTGTTACACTTGTAACAAAGCATTTCTTTGCCAACAAACAGCTCAAACAGTTGGAGATGCTGACAAACACATTACAGTTCAAAGACTCTAGAGATTTGTTAGATCACCTCATCTTAACAAGTCTGATATGAATAAGTATAAACTGCAATCAATCTATTGCCAAATATCAATGTTTGAAAACATGATTTAATATTTTGAAATAAAGATTTAGGGCTTCACAATGAGTGTGCAAATTATGTTGATTTTGCATTTTGGATACCCAATTAATCAAAACTGTCCATTTTTTGACTTTGAAAACTTTTCATTGGAACAACTAGAAATTACAAATTATCATAGATTTGGCCAAATCCATCAGGATCCATTCCCCATAACATTTATGCAGAATTATTTTTTGATAGAATAACAAATTTGATGAAATATTTGTAATATCCTGAAAGAAGAATATATTGTTTGCTTTTAAACTGAAAGCATTTGTTGTTACATTACCGTTAATAAGACACCAGTCATAATTGTAATCCGATGCAAGAGGCTATCATCTTATTGATGTATTGGATAAATAAGCGAGAAATAAAAGTCAAGTAAGTCGGGTAGATTTAATAAAAGTCCAAATAATTAAAACTTGAAAAAACTTACAAAGATGGATTAAAACAAAACTAAAAAAATCAAAACCTGTTAATTTCCTACGCTAATTTACATATTTCTGTGTCATTTTTGTTGCAATGTTTGACATCGTGTGCATTTCTATTAAAGTCACGGGAGTGAGCTGACATCATAAACTTTGATATGGTAATGTTGCCTCCGAGTTTTGCAGTTGCCGTTCTTGTCGAAGTGCTGATTTTTTCACTTTGGACTGAAAAGAATTATACAATATGGCAATTGCTAAAAGATGAAGAGTCTGTAATTAATTTTTCCAAGTCAAAGGTATTACATACACTGAATGACTTTGTTCCAGAAATCACAGAATAAGGTTGTATTTTGCTACTACTGAAGTACCAAAAAAAGGTTTGCAAAATTGAAACTGGTTCAAAGTTTCCAATGTTTCTTTTCTGACAGCTCTTTGGTTTATTTACTTCTGGTATCAAGATTTCATGTAGTAAAATTTTGTCAACTAGAGTTAGGAACAAATCACTGTACAGTAATACCCCGAAATTATGCAATAGGTGGGAGACCAAGCGATAACCGTTTAAGTCAAATTCGCGTAAGTCAGGGTATAATTTCGCAATTTGTGTAAAATCCAAATTGGATGTATGTAAGCTAATAAATGTTCTCGTTAATCTTATCTCATCTTTTGATTTGTTCACAGTTACAAGAAATCACCACATAGAGTCTCTCAAGTCTCTGTAGATATAACAAACACAGAAATAAATAACACAGAATAAATTATAGCTGTGTGTCAATTCCACGCGACATGTCTGAACATGTAAGCTAAACAATAGTGTGGGGAGGTGAGTAATCAAGAGTTGCGTGGCGCTCAAACAAAAGACGAATCAACGAGATTTGAAAATTGCATAACTCCGGATTCGCGTAAGTCGGGGTAGCATAGGTCAAGGTACAGTAGAGCATCGATTATCCGATCCACGATTAACCGTCACATCGATTAACCAACCGTTTTAGTCGGCAAATTTCAAATGTCCATTAGTGATGTGGCATTACAATATTTGGCTATGTCTTTGCTACTTTAATATTGTTTTTGTTAAATTTATGTGTGTTTTAGCTAGCATCAACGGCTCGACCATTGAAGGGAGGCCAATATTTAAAGGAGACTTAATTTTGTAATTATGAGTGGTTGTTTGTTTCGTGAGCAATAAAATAATTTAAAAATAATTTTTAATGATACAATAGCGACAATTATTATTTTTAAAAAATTTGTTAGGCTAAACATTGATGAAAATTCAATGCAAAGTTGGTTAATTTAATAGCAATATACTAATAAATTAATTGCATGGGATATACTAATATTTTAATATACTATACTAATGTATTTTTTTCCTTCTTTTCGGTTATCTGATTTTTTCATTTCTCCGACCAACCTGAGTCCCCAATTGAGTCGGATAATGGATGCTCTACTGTATTACTGTATAATTGTTGAATGGAATAATTACATTCACGAAATATGTGCCAATTTGTTACTTTCTCAATCTCCAGTAAAAATTGGCAGTTCAAACAAAGTTGTAGAAGTGGACAAAAGTCTCTTTACACACAGAAAATACCATGTTGAGCATGTTTTTCCACCACAGTGAGTATTCAGTGGAATTTGCCACAAGATGATGATGAATGGTCTGACACGGTCACTAAGAGTGTTTCTTAGCGACTGTGTCAGACCATTCAGCAAAAACTTTGATTACTACAATATGGAAGAATGTGAAAGAAGACTATGAAGAGTACTCTGACTGTTGGAAAGTGTATAAACCAGATGAATTAGAAGACACTAAATACAAATACTTGCAAGTTAATCATAAGTACAACTTTATCGATCCAGATACCAAATGCCATACGCAAACTGTTGAAAGATTTTAAGGGAGTGCAAAATGACAAAATAAACAACAGGGCAGCACTTCCAATCACCACCTAGAATCCTACATAGTTGAGTTCATGTGATGTTGATTGCATGCGTAGACACAAATGTTTTCGGCACTGTGAAATGAAATATGCAGCATTATGTCTCCCGTGTAATGTGGAGAATCCTATTTAAAAGTTTTTTATTTGTTAATTTCTGTACTTGCCCATGTTTCTTGAAATGTATTTTACACATAACAAAACAGCCATTCCTTTACACAGTGGTGTCCCATTAACAGAAAAGTACCATTCTGTTCAACTGAAACTGAATTTTGTTTGTTGTTATTTATGATTTTTATCCCCCTAAAGACGGGCTTAAATAGTTCCAAAAATACTAAGGAGACTGATCTTTGCTTTCATACTTTGACTCCAATGAAAAAGATTTTATAATTAACGACTTGGGATTTAGAAATTTTACTTTTCAGTTCTATTTTAAACGTTTATTTTTACTTAATTGCTAAAAATTGTGTTAATTTGTCAATTTTTGAAAACTAATTTTATATTTATTTAATGAATCAACGAAAACCAACACTTACTTTATACTGTTTCGGTTTCTCTTCTAGAATAACTATGGGAACCTTCCTGTATTCCGAGAATTTCAACTGCGTACGGAAAACGGGATTGACCTCGACCACGTCGTAAGGGATGCCGCGATAGTCCAGAAACGCCCTAACTTTGCAACAGAACGGACAGCTTTGATACTGAAAGAGGGTCAGCTTCACCCCCAGCTTATTTGGTCCATCTACCTAATTAAGAAAAAACAGTTAAATCACAACTGGAAATTTTAAATAAATTAAAAAACTGATATATCAAATTTATTTAACTTAACAGATTAGAAATTGCTATGTAAGCACAGAGAAATAAATTAAATATAAAAAAAATATTCATTAAGCTAACAAAATACTTTAACATAGATTAGTTTTTATAGCATAAAAATATTTTATTTGCAGTTTTGTACAGAAACAATAGAAATTTTTTTTGTAATAAATCATTATAATAATTATGCATTTAATTAAACTAAAAATATTAAATTTTATAGAAGACCAAGTTTTAAACAATGAATAACTTGCATATTTTCTTTTGTAGTTGCAACATTGATTAACCTTCATACCCATTAGTCTCTAGCAGTGTTTATTCCTTATTAAGAACACTTTAAAGGCTTGCAAATCACCTTTAGATACCAAAAGAAAAATTAACTCACAAAATTTAAATTCTTAATAGCTTAAAACATTAACAATTTTGGCAAACACCTCTATAAATCAAATTGAAATATTACTTTATAATATTCTTGTAGTCGTATTAAGTATGACACATCTTTTCAAATTCCTTTAGAGTTCACTGAAAATAATTTTAGTGGAACTTAACTGAGAGTTATGTAATATTTTTGCTTATTTAATGAATTTAAATTTAAAAAACAACCATCTATAAAAAATACCTATCTCAAAGACATTTAAGGAAATAAACATGGTAATTATAATTATCATTGACTCAAATCAAATTGCTATTTTCTTGCAAAACACAGGAAATCTTCAAGAATGTATTCTCCATACAGGTAATATTCATTTTGTACAAAAGCTATTATTGTACAAATTGAACAAAGTAAAAAACTTGTCTTAAATATATTTTTTTTTAAATTAAAAACTTTTTATATGCTTAAAATGCATTTCTAAAATACCAAAAAACAGAGACCGTTACGTACTTGTCAATAGTCTATTATACATGTATATACCTAGTGATTGCAATTAAAGTACCTTCATTCAATGCTGTCCGGAGATATTTAACAGTCCAAATGCCACCAAATCTGGTATATGACATTTTGGGATACGTGGAAGGCATTTCAATAAAATATACTCACCGCTATGGCACTTTTGACACCAAAAGTAACAAGCATTTTATTTGTACAAGAGACTCAAGCTATATACAAACATTAACAGTAAAGAGGATACTCATTAATGTGTCCTCATTCTGAAGATGTAAGACCCAAAAATAATTATGGTGTGTTTAATGGCCTACCGTAATTGATCTTTTGCAATGTTTCTTACATGCAAAAGTACAATATCGTCTTTTGAGGGCCATCTAACTTGCAACGTGTTCTCGATAAATCACACTTTTTAAACGTCCCCTCAACCAAACGTCACGCAGATTAATATCCGAAGAGTAACGCGATCGGCGGGAGGAAACACGAGACGTCCGTCGTCACAAAAACTGCCGTACGGTGTAGACACGTAGAGAAACTCCATCTTGCACGTAAAACGGTTAACTGGAGACACCGTCACCGTCGCAGTCAAAGCACGATAAAGCGTTAAATAACTCTCGGTATCTCCGGCCATCACAGAACATATCACAGACCTATCGAGACTAGCCTTTTCAAAGAAGGACAACCTAAGGCTGCGAATCCACATCAGACTAACTTCTGTTTTTCTTTTTTTAACTCTTTCCACCTCATGGCCACCAAGAGGGCCTCATTTAGCAAGCCCGTTACCGGTTCGGCCGTGCCCGACGGGTAGAGAGGTACGGGACCGGAAGTATCCGGACAAACCGTCAATTGTAAAATTCGAGGGGGTCTTTCGAACGTCCGGGTACGACGGCGGGTCTCCCGGAGCGACGGGTCACCACCCCGACCGCCTGGCGCCGTCTTCCCGACACCCTCGATTAAATTTTTACTAACTTTATTTAACTGTATAATTAATTTTAGGCGGACGAATTAACGAGGTGATCGAAAGCCGAACACCCGACTACACCGGTCTTGACGTAAATAATTGATTCGCAGGTATTGCAGAGAAGACGGCGCGTAGGGGCAGGTAGCAAGTTGGTTTAACGTTCACGTCACGTCGTTTCTCATTACGTAATAAATGTTACTACGCATTGTTTAGACATTCTCACCTTTCGAGAGATAGGAATGTCGTAAGGACCCCATTGCACTTTATCTTTTTCCGGGTGTTCCTTATTGCCTTCCAGCAGCTGATATTCGTCTCTGAAAATCGGAAGAGAAAGGCAAAACAATCCTCCTCCAAACACTCCCGCGCCCAATTTCCACTTGCGCCATTTATAACTCCTATCGTAAGGTCTTTTATGGAAGCCGGCGACATTTATTCGCTGTTGCTTCCGCGCCAAAGAAACTAAATTGTTTCTACACGTAAATGCGGCAAACAGAATCCGATTCCCAAAGAGCGCAGACATCTTGCTTTTAGTTCCGAAGTCGCCCGTTTCGAGTCGCTTGGCTAAATCGAGCAAAACCGAATATTTCTTTGTGTGATTTTAATAGGAGAAAAATGTTTGAAAGTTCGTTAAAATATAAAGAAGATTAATTCAAAAAATAATTTTAAATAAAATTCCCAATAAAATCAAAAAAGTCTTCGCTCGTAGTCAATAGACTATATCAAAAAATATTTTGTCTCGCGTTGTTTATTTTTACCACATAAAATAATTACAAAACATAAAAAAGTAATTAAATCGACGAAAAGGATATATATTCTTGTTTAACTAATTTTTATTGAAAAAGAAACCATTTTTTAATATAGGTTTGTTTTTCGTCAACAGATGGCTCTAACGAACGTGCTGGGATCGTATAAGTAACGAAGAGTAAAAAGTTATTACTCGCTCGTCGGAGAAAAAGCCGTTACACGGCTAGAATCTCCATATAAACTCCGAGACAAGAAGAAGTGGTTACTACATTGTTTTTTTTTCTCGGAAATTCGAGGTTCCGAACGACGTTTCCAGCAGGCGATCCAGAATACAGAACGGAAGTGTCGGTTGTCTTCACTCCGCTGTGACGATTCACCTAGATTAAGTTACATCCAAACCGCTTTGTTTCGTTTCCAGAGACCCGCTTCTCCTAACGAAAAAATACATATTTTTCAAGTAAAAGGTTTCAAATGCAAACGCATTAAAAATAATAATCGGACGGTACTCGAAGGAATTTAGGGGACTAGCCATTCTCGGCACGCTACTGATTTCCGCCACGCGCGAGTGGGGAAACACTGCGCTGGTCATTAATTAATTGTGGTCGTGATGATTGTTAACGGAATCCTCAAATATCTTATAAATTATCGTAAGAACGCGCAATAGAAGAAAACCGGGGATTAGATCATTCCGTCCGTCCTGCCGAAATGTCTGTTCCACTCACACTCGGAGTTATAAATTATTTTCCTTCGGATTTTTGGTCTATGGCCGTACGTCTGCGGGAATTGGTACTTTGAATACGATTTAAATCAACGACTTAAATATCGACGAAGAGATTCAAAGCGGTTACGAACAGAATTTGTAACGACAAAACTTCCTTCTCCGTTAAAGGCGCCAACTTTACGCGTCATATTTTATGGAACCCGATCGTAGTTTGTTTATATTCCGCTCGAGTGAGCCAGCCCCCGTCCACCGCCACCCAACCGTTACAAATTACAAATAATACCGGGATCGTAGAAATATTAAAGGAGGAAGTTTATTCGGCGCTTCTTTTGGTGTTATAAATAAGTAGTGTTTGTTTCCACTTACGCGATTCTTAACGTCGATGTTGGTCGCGCTTCCTCTGCTTCGTGTCCGTGGCCGTTTAAAGCATTTTTGAGTTTTCCGGCCCAGTTTATTTACCGGAGCGATACACGTATAGAACAGAAATATTAGTAATGCGCGGCGCCACCACCGGGTATGCACCCGCGTTAATTCGCTCTCGCTCGTACTACTAATAGAAAACAATTATTAAATATACGAAATGACTAAATACGTATACAGTCGACCCCCATAACACTGTTGATAATTCCGTTTTATATGAATTCCATGTTGTACGAGTCACTTAGATTTTACAAATACGTGTGCCGGTNTTTTGATGTAAAATTTATTTAATATATCTTATTAAATAAATAAAAATAAATAAACTTAATATAAGAAAAATTTAAGTCAATATATATTATTTGAAACTATTAGTATTTTTAGTGACGTCTGAAATTTTGTAAAGATTAACTTTGTTTTAACTCTTCATTATCCATACAGAAATAGGCCTATTAATTTAACACGGAGAATAGTTTACAGAGTAAAAATGGTTTCTTCATTATTAACAATGCAGCTTTGTTAACTTTGAAGAATTACTAATTTGGCTTTATACTGTAAAAGCTGAGAATGGCCCTTCTCGAGTTTCGGGCACACGAATAAAAGGTTAAGTGGATCATTATAAAGTTCAATAATTTTCAATTATACTGCGATATATAATTAAATTATTAACAAAAGTTTAAAGGAATGGTATAACAGAATAGCATATTCATTAACAATCTAACTTCAAACAGAGAAAATAATACTTTATTGAAATAGAAAAAGAAATATTGGTTTTGATATTTTTGAACCTCTTAAGCCCACCTTAAAACAAAAACTGCCACTCAACAAAAATTTCTTTGCTTTCAACTTAAAAGATAATACTGGTAATACCTTTTGTATTTTAAGTACAACACTATATTATATATATTACTGGATCAAAGTATCTCACACAGAACCTGACAAGTTCTGGTGGATTTGAATGAATCTATGATATCTATGATATGATTCTATAGTTCTAGTGGTTGTGATGAAAAGTTTTCACAGGGTTGAAACCAAAAACTGGGCAATTTTTAAGTTATTGAGCATCCAAAATGCAAAAGATGCATAATTTGTGCACATGTGAAGCCATAAATCTTTTTATTTCAAAATATAAAATATGCTTTTAAATGTTATTGATGTCTGGTATTTTATCTGGATTTCCTTGTGCAGAAATCATTTACTATGAAATATGCAAGAGTTTCATTCTTGTGTCATTTGGGACGGTACAATGCTAATAGCACTCTCCACTAAACAGTGTTTCGGTATCCTTCTAGCAAAAGAATCACTCTACCGAAACTTGATAATGGTTGAAAAGGAACTTCTTTGGGACATTTTCAGACAATGTATTTATTATTGAATAAATAAAATAAGTAAACACGTTTTTTCAAAATTTCTTTGTTTTTTTCTCTTTTTATATTCAGGGTTCCTACTCAAATTTTTGTTTTAAATTCCATGACTTTCCCTGACCAACTCTGTATAAATTCCCCGACCTCAGTCCCTTACAGTAAGACACATTGACAAAATAAAACAGCATACGACTTACTATGCAAATATCCTGTAGCTTCTTCAACTTTTTATTTTGTCATTTTTTCTAATTAACAGTTACATAAAGTGTTAAACACAAAATACGTATTTCGATATAGATAAATTTAAATTTTGAGCAATAGTTCATAATATAAATTGATGAAAATTGTTTTAATATGAAATAGAACTGCCATTATGTTTAATGACTTCAAAAATGCAATTAGGCATTGATTTAATTAAATTGTGTAAGATTTCTGGATCCATTTGAAACCAGCACTCAATTATTTCTTGTTTAAGCTCTAAAACTGTCGTAAAATGTCTGTTATTAGAATTAATTTTCAGAATAAAAATGCCCCATAAGTTCTCAATAGGATTAATAGCCAAACTCCTTGCCAGTCACTTCTTAACTTGAATATTATGATCTTTGACCCACTTAGTTGTTGAACATGAACAATGAATACAGTAATACCTTGACTTACACGAACCCGGAGTTACACGATTCTCAAATCTCGTCGATTCGTCTTTTGTTTGAGCACCACGCAACTCTTGATTACTCAGTCCTCCACACTTTTGTTCAGCTTACATGTTCGGACGTGTCGTGCAGAATCGACACATAGCTACAATTTATTTTGTTATTTATTTCTGTGTTTGTTATATCTACGGAGCCTTCAGAGACTCTATGTGGTGATTTCTTGTAACTGTGAACGAATCAAAAGAAGAGATAAGATTAACGAGAACATTTATTAGCTTACATACATCCGACTTGGATTTTACACAAATTGCGAAATTATACCCCGACTTACGCGGTTATCGCTCGGTCCCACCTATCACGTAAGTTTGGGGTATCACTGTACTGCATTGTCCTGTTGGAAAATCCAATCAGGTCCTCCACTTTCTTCTCGAATAGGTAATAAATTATTTTTTAGGATTTCTTGATAACTTTAGTAATTTTAACTAGTAGACAAACATCTTAAAATTTAATAAACCATAAAATCCAAAGCAGCCCACACTATATAGAACCACCACTATGTTGCCTGCTGAAAAAATTGTACTCTTCTTTTCTAATATCATGCCAGTAATGAGCCCAACCATCTGGCCCATCCAAATTAAATTTCTTTTTATCACTGAAAAGAACTGAGAGCCATTGGTCATTCCACAGCATGTGATCTTTAGCCCACTGCATTCTTGCCAATTTGTGTTGTGGTGGTTTTTTTCATCATAGCAGCAAATTTTATGTGAAACTGCTGAAATTCTTCAATAAACAGTGCTTTCTGATGTTTTTAATTCACTTTTAAACAAAATTTGACAAACTGATTTGTCCTGCTGTGATGCAAGGTGCACAATTCAATTATCATCTCTTTGAGATGTGATTTTGGGTCTTCCTGATCAATGTTTAGAAGGTTTTGGTAATGATTTTCCCAAAATTTTATAAATTCCAGGATAGATCTGTTCATTAAAACAGCAATTTCTTTGACATGACAGTCTTCTGCTTTTAATTTCCACATTCTTGCAATTTCTTCCATACTAAACTCTCTTCCATGTGGCATTTTTGAAAGTTTTGATTCAATATTCAAATTATTACTTGATAACAAAGTTCAAGTGCTACTTGATGTTATTTATTATTATTTTCATAATTTTAAGTTTCTTATGTTTGAAATTTTACAATTCTGTTTTATTATCTATACTTATGGGACAGTGAAAAATATATTTTTGTTGTTAAATTATTAATGTAATGATGTTTAATTTTGAAATAATCAAAAATCAGTGTAAAGTAATTTGCAAATACAAATGAAATCATTTACATTTCTCTTAAATTCCTAACAATTTTGAAAAATAGTAAAATGTTGATTATATATGCTTTTAAGTTGCACTGTATTATAATAGATTGTGATAACAACAATAATAATAATTATAATTTTTTTTATAAAAATATTTCTTTTGTGAATGATTTCAAGAATAAATTTATACTGTATTATTTTGTAGTAAAAACATCATGATTTCTTTATTACAGTAGAGCAGCGATTATCCGAAAGAATTCCAGTCGGCAAATTTAAATTTTCGCCAGTGCTGTGGCACTGCAATCTTTGACTATGTCTTGGGCTACTCAAATATTTTA